CTGTGGTATTCAGGAGCTAAGTATCTTTGTAAAGTTGTTCTGTTGAAGAAAGCCTAGGTTTTTTGGAAATGATCTTCAGAATGTAATTTTGTGTAGATTGAAACCGGTAGAGTGTGTCGTTGTACATTCCGCCCCAAACAGTTATACAGTATTTAAGGACAGATTCTGTTAGTGAATTATAGATGATGAATAGCGTTCTCTATACCCTGAACAGGGTATAGACAACGCTTCACTGCTGAATAGATTTTCGTTACTCTCTCTGGAAGACCGAAGAAAGTATGTATATTTATTTATAAGCTTACACATAATCTTGTGGATTGCCCAGATCTACAAGGTGGGCCAAAAGAAGTCATCCGATGTTATTTGGCTCTCATTTTTTTTCTAAATGAAAAACTTCGATTCTGTTTCTTGATTATGTTTATTTGAACCTTTAGAATTTAATTGATCAAGTCGAGAAGATGATATCGGCCTAATGGGCGCCGCCACAATTGATTGCTATACGGGCTCGTTTTATGGCATTTTTCATCACTTCGGCGAGATCTTCGGGCGACAGATTCTGGCACTCGTGTCGAATGTTGTACTTGAGGGCTTCCAGGGTCTCAGGCTTGTTCACGTAAACACAAGACTTCAAAAAACTCCACAAAAAAGTCTGAAACGGTTAAATCGGGCGATCTTGCGAGCCAGAGCAAATCGCCAAAACGAGAGATGAGGCGATCTGGGAACGCCGCCTTCAGAATATCGGCTGTGGCTCGCGCAGTGTGTGCCGTTGCTTCGTCCTGTTGGAACCACATGTCCTCCAGTCCTAATTCGTTTAATTGCGGCAGAAAAAACTCGGTAAACATGGCCCTAGAGCGCGCACCGTCCACTGTTCTCGTTTGACCAGCGGCGACCTCGAAAAAAATGGCCCGATGACTCCTCCAGAGTAAACAGCGCACCATGCAGTCACTTTGAGCGGGTGTAATGGCCCCTCGTGCATCACTCGTGGATTTTCAGTGCCCCAGAAGCGATAGTTCTGCTTGTTCACGTACCCGCTGAGGTGGAAATGAGCCTTGTCGCTCATTATGATTTTGGCCGAAAAATCGTCCAAGAGATTGAGGATGGCTTGGCTTGAATTATTCCGCTTTCTTGGGGAGTGTATCGCTCCATGGCTTGTTCACTTGTATTCTACATCTGTCTAGTTCACAAATGTCGAAACAGATCTGACATTGGCCGCCATTTGCAAAAATAAGAGCATCTTCCAATAGGGTGATTTCTTTTGGCCCACCTAGTACTGTCACAACTCAACTTCCATGTATGTACCTCGCTTGAATAACTCAAATGAAACATGTTTTTATCTAACAACACCAAGAACAAATATAATAGCCAAGTCTCCCGTATACCGAATCTGTAAGAATTTTAATAATATCTGCGATCAAATAGATCTATTTTCAACATCATAAAGATGTTTCGACAAAATGTTCAAGAAATACTCTCCTCAGCAGTGCCGTATTATCCATAAGGCAAACTAGGCACGTACCTAGGGGCGCGAGATTACAAAAGGGCGCGTCGTCGTCGAAAATGTGCGTTGGAGAATCTATAGTTGGAGGAACGGGAAACGTTGGTGCGGCCCGTGAAATTCCCGATATTCACAATAACTACCCCTCTTACTTTCTTCACCCTGAACACGTATATTAGTAGTTATGATTTATAATATCTTATGATCACCAGAGGGGCGCCGATGAGATGCTTGCCTAGGGCTCTGTCGACACTTAATCCGCCCCTGCTCCTCAGAATTGAGATGTAAATTTATACTCAATTGTAAATTATTATTTATCATTCTTGTACTAAGTTTGCTGTGTTGATTATGTTGCTTGTCCTGTAATTGGGTGTAATACCATCATGGTAGCGGTACATATGAAAGGCCGCAAACGGACACACATCAAACGGGACTGGAGGATTCCGGTCGACATGGGTATCTGAGCTTTCTCAGCGAAAACTGTAACTTTGGTGTACTTTGTGCCTTAGTTCGACAGGGAGGGGGCAGCCCCAAGCAATCCTACCGCCAGTCATCGTAGGCAAAGCCGGGTCCTCTCCTGTTAACGAGGTAGAGGAACGATCACTCATTCAACGGGACGAGAGGATTCTTGTCAACATGAGTAGCAATCAGGCCAAAGCTTCTTGCGACGGCGACCCATCAAACCTAACAAGAGGAATCTTGTTGGCATGGATACCTGGGGTGATGAGGATAGCCTCATCAGGTCGTACATACGTCCTGATGCCACACCAATTGGGTTGGACTACAGGGGGCAGAGGTTTATAAAAAATACCACCGGACTACGGTAGAGGAGGTAAAGAAGAATCCCACTAAGGGTCAAGTGGGAGGAAATCTTGCCTACCTCGGCACTGACACTGCAGAGCCAGTAGTCTGTTTCGTCAGACGGCCTCACCATTGGTATAATAAAATGGTAGCAGGAGAACATGCCGTTACATAACGGAGATGGCTCTAGCGCGCTGATTTAGCATATTCAAATATTTCATTTCTCCCTGGGGTGCTGTCGGTATAAGTCGAGAGACAGGTAACCGGCAGTCATCCCCTAGGGGAGTCTTGTGAAGGGGGGTGGGAATTGGTCCCACCAGTTGCTAAACCCGGCAACATTATTGATGATTTGATTGCATAGATATTATATGGAACATAACTATTTACATAACTCTTTTCATATGGCTTATTGTCTGTCCTGTAGCGATCTTCCTCTCGGCTGCTATCAATGCTTTGGTGAATTGGATTTGGTCTGTTATCTGAATGTGTTTTGGTATTGATTATCGTTTTGAAATCACAGAACTCAATGATCTGGAAGGATAATGCTGAAATCTGATACGACCAGTGTGTTTACGGCAATGGTGATCTTGCGCACATTGTCGGCAACATTTTAAGTTATAAATTTTCATATGCATATCTCATATTTATGTACCAAGATGTAGTTCTTATTTCTCATAAACCTTCTTGTAACTTATGATCAACAGCTTCACAAAAATCATATAGAGAATTTTCGCGACAAATTCATAGACTATATTTTACAAGAGATTAATGAATTATTGTAATAACTATTATATCGCTTATTATAACTTCTAATTTCTTACAAGTTCATCTGGCAACTATGTAAGTAAGAATGTAGCTCTCTCATTTTGTTTGACGTAGACTTGAGACAGAGCCGGACTAGTTTCAGTTATTCAGTGTTTTGCTTTGTGTTCAATGTATTTCATTAGTGAATTTGAGATTATTGAAGAGTTTTGGAATTTTACTCCAGTTTGGGTGGATTATTGTAGTCATAGTGACAAGTACAGTACTCATTTCAATGATTTGGTGTCCACTGGGCAATTTTGACAAAACTCAGTTTTATCAAACAAGGATCATAGTAACCATTTCATAAGTATTTGCACCAAATTTTGTTTTATGTCCTGAGATTTATAGCAAGAAAACGATTTTTAAAACTGGACTTCCCTTGATGAACCATGGTGAATCATTGCTAATAAAGCCTGAAACACCCTGTATATTAGCTTGCTCATTTATATCCAATGAACACTTTAGTTGATGGAAATTACATTAACTCCTAATAACAATGGAATCCATCATGATAAATATCATATAAATTTTTCACAATATTATGCTCTTTCCAGGAAGCCACAAAAACGTATTAGACAGAGCTGTCATTTATTGCTTGAAATTTGACATTTCACAGGAGATACGGAAATAAAATTGATGACATACAGAGCACCTCATTGATTTATCACACACAGTAACTAATACAAGAGCAATTTTCCATTATAGTCATAAAAAAAGCATACCTACATTTGTCCTGAGGTGCTTCCTTTCTTTTGGTGTAACTAAATGTGAAATGATAATGTCAATGGCACCACGGTGGGTGATCGTTATGGATATTTATGACAAATACCCAAGGGGTGAACCACAGTCAAAATTGTGTACACCAAACTTCAATTTCACAAGAAAGTCCGAGGAATTTCAAGGAATATCAAGGAATTTCAAAGAATTTCAAGGAATTTCAAGTAATTTCAAAGAATTTCAAGGAATTTCAAGGAATTTCAAGGAATTTCAAGGAATTTCAGGGAATTGAAAGGAACTCCAGTTGTTTGTACACCAGAAATGTACCTCACTTCACACAAAGAATAATTCCAAGAAACTCCAAGTAATTCCAGAGAATTCCAAGAAAATCCAAGGAATTCCAAGAAATTCCAAGAAATTCCAAGGAGTTCCAAGGAATTCCAAGGAAATTCAAGGAAATCCAAGGAATTACAAGGAATTCCAGTTGTTTGTACACCAGAAATGTACCTCACTTCACACAAAGAATAATTCCAAGAAACTCCAAAGAATTCCAGGGAATTCCAAGAAAATCCGAGGAATTCCAAGAAATTCCAAGGAGTTCCAAGGAATTCCAAGGAAATTCAAGGAAATCCAAGGAATTACAAGGAATTCCAGTTGTTTGTACACCAGAAATGTACCTCACTTCACACAAAGAATAATTCCAAGAAACTCCAAAGAATTCCAGGGAATTCCAAGAAAATCCGAGGAATTCCAAGAAATTCCAAGGAGTTCCAAGGAATTCCAAGGATATCCAAGGAAATCCAAGGAATTACAAGGAATTCCAGTTGTTTGTACACCAGAAATTTACCGCACTTCACCCAAAGAATTCCAAGGAAATCCATGAATCCAAGGAAAACCATGAATCCAAGGAAATCCAAGGAATTCCAAGGAAATCCAGGCAATTCCAGGAAATTTCAAGGAATCATAGTTGTTTGTACACCAGAATCCCACCACAGTTTACCCCTAGCAAATACTGTTTCCTCTATTTCATATTTTCATTTGATTTTTATTGAGTTGAAAAGTTGAAGATACAACTTTCTTGTCCCTCTTCCCCTTGTGTTACTTCTGAATGTTACATAGTTTTTGAGAAAACAATAAAAATAATAATTCTAGAACAAGAACCAAAAGCAGACTGGACACTCACCTCTTGAGGAGTTAATTTCGTGGAACTTGGCCTGGTATCCCTGGACTGCTCATAATAATCAGAATGAAACCTTCTGCAGTCACAGCATGTCTTCACTAGACTGTCTTTACTGGAATATATTTTGGGTTTCAAATTTTGCCTGGTGTTATCCAATGAATTTCTGTAGGTGGTACTAGTTGCAAATAGAATGTTGGAGGACACTGTAACATTTTTGGTAGACCTCAACAACTGGGAACCTCTGCGGCTAACAACCATCGTTCAGGAGAACTGCCAGTAGGGCAGGAATAGGTATGAACAATCTTAGGGTTTCAGTTTGTCTAATCTGATGTGACTTTCACCGCATGAAAACTTCGTCTTACGAACTTTTTTATCATCAAATAGTTCTATTTTTGTCTTTAATTTGACATTTACATGAGAGCTATTTTTAGGGGGTTAGAATTTTCCACTTCTTATTTTTATGCCATTCGTCTTTTATGTGACATTTACTACATGAGAGCTATTTTAGGGGTTAAACTTTTCCACTTCTTATTTTAAGATTTACTCACCTCATTTAGTCACTAGCTGTGGATTTCAACCACGATGTGTCAAAGCTCAAACGTTTCTTTATATTCTACATCATCAGATAAATGTATTTTTTACTTCATCATACCTTCTTTACGTACTGTGGTATTAATATATTCAGTACCCTTGTGGAGTAGTGAAAAGAAGCAATACAAAATGTAAAGGTTTACTTCATTTAATGACAATAAAACAATTCAAATATTTATAAATCTGCTCTGACTCCAAAACCAGGGCCAGGGGGTTCACCAGTCAGAGAAGTAGGTTCGCCAATTGGTTCTGAAGCATACCTTCCACTCCTATGAATAAAATGATAGATCTTTTTTCAAATATTTTGGTACACAAGAATGTATAACTTTACTTTTCCCATAGTGGTTAAGTATGTTTGAAAACATTCATTTCCCAATTATGTACTCACCTTGGACCAGCTGCAGGTTTTTTCCCAGCTTTCAAGTCATTCAAAATTTCATCAGTATCATTAACAGTTAGGTCCTCCTGAAACAAATTAAGTATGTACCCGATTCCATTTCTTCAATAACACCTAACCAACATAGTAATCATCATTGATTTGAATCATTGGTGCATTCACACAAGCTCCCAAACACTCTACTTCAGAGATTGTCCACATCATGTCTTTGCTGGTTTCTCCTACTTCCAAGTTGAGGTTCTTTTTGACTGCTTCTAGGACCTCATCTGAGCCCCTCAACCAACAAGGGGTAGTTGTACATACTTGAACATGATATTTACCAGTAGGTTTTCTAAAAACATATCCCATACATAATTATTGACACCTCAACCTCATAAAAAATGTGTTTGAGTTCCGTGAATTTTACCTCATATACATTGTATAAAATGTGGCAACTTCATACACTCTCATCTTGGGTAAATTCAATATTTCAGCAACTTTGTGCATAGCAGAAATGGGCAACCAACCATATTGCCTCTGAGCTAAATCCAACAGTGGGAGCATAGCTGCCCTTTTATGGCCTTCAGGGTAAATTGCAAGAATAGCTTCTACCCTCTACAAAAGAAAAAGCAATGTAGCAAAAAATTGCAGAAGGAAGATTTCCTTACTTTTTCATTTTCTGGGGTGAAATTGAATGGAATATCGGGGTTGTCTTCGGGACTGTCTCGGTGCACAAACAGGCTGTCATGTTTAAGAACAGCGGAAGTTTGTAGGGCTCTTGAGGAAATTGAACTCCTCTGGAAAATTATAGGTTATGGATCTTATATAACTCAATATCGAAATAGTTTCGCATTGATACAGACCCTATTGTGAATAAAATACTTACCAAGCTGTTTGTGATCACTCCTAATGTTTTCAACATACTTTTATGTAATTAAATAATAATTTAATTTTACCACTTCACTGTTAATATCCAGTCAATATTCACAGCTGATTCTTTGTTGACACTTGGACATTTCGAAAATAAAAATAAGAAGACTATTTGTTAAGAAGATGTAGGTTATGTTCTGGCTCTACTTATAAGTTGGGTTATGTTTATGTTTACTACCTGTCAAGAAGAGACAAAATGTTGAAAATAATTTCTAAACTAAGGATTTCAAATACTACATTTCTTCGAAATTTTGCATCATTTATAGAAGATGGGGTAACCGAATCACACTCCTCAATTTCTAGTACTTCAAATGGAATTCGTATTATGAATAATACATCAGAAGAAACATCTCTAACAGAAAGAGTGAAGGCACCCAAAAAAATAGAACTTTCAGAGGTTTCAAAATATTTGAGACCTGGTGCATTATCGTCCATGTACATCAATCATTCAGACACCTTACAGCAACTACTCAAATTAGGCGTGAAATTTTATGAAATAGAAAAGGACCCCAATGCATTCAAATTTATTTTAACACTCAAATTTGAAGAAATCATGGGTCACATACTGTTCCTGAAAGATATTGGTATAGAACCAGATACCATAGGTAAAATAATTACCAAGAATCCTTTCTTACTTAGAGAAGAATTGAATGATCTTGAAGTGAGAATTAATTATTTACAATATAAGAAGTTCACAAATGAAATGGTTGTGAGAATAATAGGGAACAATGCTTACTGGTTAACTCATAGGTAATAATCATGATTATTCTTGATTCTTATTTCAGATACAAATTCATAATTTTCAGCACCCAAGAAATTGATGAAAGACTGGGATTTTTCCAGCATAACTTTGGTCTGAGAGGTAATCAAGTCAGAGCTCTAGCCACCAAATGTCCCAAACTAATAACTTACTCCTTGGATGTAGTGAAAGAACATATTTTCATGCTCAAAGAAGAAATGGGATTGACACCTGTAGAAATCAGAAAAGTCATTTTAGATAAACCAAAATTGTTGATGTGTAACAGGGATAAGATCCTGAAAACTTTTGAATACTTTCATAATATAATGAAGATACCTCTAGAGAGGATAATAAAAGAGCCATATATTTTAACATTCAGGCAAAGTCGTTTGATGGAAAGACATTTGTTCCTAGTTAAATTGGATATGGCACAGTATGATCCAAAGAAGCCTAATTATGTGGGACTCAGTACACTTGTATCTGGAACTGATGCATATTTTAGTACAGAAGTTGCAAAGTCTTCTGTTCATCTGTACAATATATTTTTGAAAAGTTTATAAAAATACCTCAAAATATAGTTGAATGTTTATACTTTTCCCGCAATGCTTAATTAGAAGTTCCATAAGGTTTCGGGAATTCAATAAATGAATAAATAAATATCAGGCTCTATCAGCGTACCAACTTTTGGGACAAGGTACAGCATACTTTGATTTAACCAGAAGAGAAGATTTAAGGCAACGACCATGTGAAGCACGAGCCGAAGAAAGGAGGAAGAAGTTGAAGAGAAGAAGAATTAAAGGCAACGACCATGTCGAGTACGAGCCGTACTCAGGGAGGAAGCTATCTGAAGAAGAGGACAACAACAGAGAAGAAGAACCTGGGTAAATAACCGAAGAGGTTATACCCATATCAAAGAAGGAAAGAGTACGAGACGAGCCGAAAGAAGAAGCCAGCCTATTTTAGGTTATGTTTTATTCTTTTTTTTTTCGATTTTCGTTTCAAAATACAAGGAATATGTTTGATTTTGGAGACACTTTGGCCCTAATTGTAGGGCTATTTATAAGTGCTGTTGTCATTCTAGCATGTCTGGGAGCCTATGCACGGAAAAAGGCATACTTAGAGGCAATATGATGTGTTGCTGATCTGATATTAACTAGAATCAACTGATAAGATGATATCATGGAACTTTCAAGTAAATAATTTGCTATTAAAACCTTCAAGAATATTTCTACTTACAAAGGAAACTGGATTGTTTCTTATCAATAAAGAATATTTTTTGTCTGTTTCAGGTAATTTTCTCTAGGGCAATGTTAACTTGGGATTCAAAAGAATAACCAATGACTGATTTTTGTTACAAAAACATGATGTGAAAATAAATTGTAATATATATGTACCTAAATATCAATAATCATTATTTTTATAATACACTAAATGCTATGTTTAAACAATACAAACATTACAAAATATATAGATAAGTAGAAGAATGCAAATATAATGACAAATAATTAAGCAATCAGCTGTTGAATCCTTTCAATGAGATGGTTATTGTATTCCTCATAATTAATAGGGTCCACTTTGATACAAACAGTCTTTAAACGAGACTCATCCTAAAAAATAAATAAACTGCTCAATAGTTGAACAAGAACAGGGGGATCCCACGCACATCAAGCACCGAACACTGATTTAAAATAAAAAAAAATCACAAAAAAACTTGCTTACATTGTATGTTTCCATTTTGGCTCTGCATTTCAGTATGAACTGTCTGAAATGGCATTTATCCACAATATTTGCCATTGCCTCAGAGTTCTGTTCAACTTGCTCCCCAATTTCCTGAGAAGTTTGACCCAGGACTTTTTCCACTTCTGAACTGAACATACTCATCCATTGGTTTCCACTCCAATCCCCAACATTCATCTGGAAAACAAAAACATCCAGCAAATAAACCAAGAGTCGATATTTGATACAATTAATTCTTTACTTACACTTGCCAGCAAGCGATATTTAAAGTTGGGAAATTCTCTGTTGCATTTTTCACATCTGTACATGCCGTTTTCCAAGTCAATGACTTTTTTGTTGCATTCAGGAGTGGGACAAGCCTTGTACATAGCATTTTCGGACCTGATGAGTAAAATTGTTCCCATGACTTGATAGTAATCACCTGGAAAAATAAAATGTACTTTTAGGGCTGTGATAATTCATGTTTTCTCCAGCTAGATTGTGAATTCGCCGTTAGTTTCAGTTTCAGTTAGAAAATAACAAAGACGTTCATCAAGATGGATGACAAAATGGAGAATAAGGTAGGGTTAGAAGCACAGAACTCAGTGGTAAGAAGTAGCTTGAATTCAAGGGCAAGATTATTTTCATTTTCATCAGATAGAGAATGCGAATTCTCAATGTATTTATATATTATTTTGATTTTTTTCATGTTCCTAATATATCTGAGGATGAAACCAGAAGACCAGGGGTTATTCTAATTATTTTTTCTCCAAATGACATCAAAAGTGGATTTTCAATGACACTAAGCAGGCAGAAAAGGTGTATTTTTACTGCCTAAACAGAAAAAGTTTGTTGCTATGCAAAGTTCTAAGTAATTTGAATAAAATTGGTAATCAAAATTGACAATGACTTTGGGTGAACAAAAAATGATGGATTATTCGGACTTTGCGAGAAATTAAGAATTTGGGGAAGACATTATGTTTCACATGGCAGAAAAGAAGATGTAAGGCTGTAGCTGGTTTTCTAGCCTTGAGCCGCGGCATTGAATCTTGTACTATTCTGCCTAGTACAACAAATAACTTTTGTTTCTCTATTTACGTAACAAAATAGGCAGAATATCAAAAGTCCAACATCACATTTTTTCTAGTTTTCAACTGAAATCGCTAATACATGGTGATTGTACACAATGACGTATAAATATCAAGTGAGATGCCTGTTCAGGTCGGCAGCTAACTTGAGGTTTGAACAAGGAGGAATGCACTTGAAAATTTACTATAGTGAAAATTTTAAGAAATTGGGAAAGAAATGTAAGTGCATCGCTGAAGTGATTGTTCATTTTGTTAAATTTGTTGATCCAATCGCAAAAAAAAAATTAGTATCGTTTGATTCGTCAAAATATGCTTTTTTTCGGGAAGTGCTTACAAGTAAATGAATGATCATCCATGGCACACTTGACAAAAGTGAATAAATTATTATGAAGTATTTTCGTCAGTAATATTTAATTTATGTTCTTATTTGTAATCCAATCGCAAATAAATTTGTATCGTAAGATTCCTCAAAATATCCTTTTTTCGGAAAGTGCTTGTCAAAAAATGGTGGCCATTTGAAAAATAATAGTTAGACACGAAAATGTAATTTTGCCAACTTGTCTTATTCATATCTATCATACTTGTCACTAAAACTTCGCGATTGTGATTTTCTGATATCACCTGAGGTCCTTAGATTAGTTTACCTCCGATCATGGCCACCTAGATGTAATTTCAAAAGTGACTCCGAAAAAATCGAGTAGGCATAAAAACTTTCGAAAATGTCACATTCTGATCTAGAATTGTCTCAGAAATCAAAAAATGTTAGAATATACAGGGTGTTTCATTTAAAAATTTAGAACCGGATACATTTCCGGTGAAACCGGAAGTGAATAATATGTGAAAACTCTCCTCTTTACATACCATTTACCTATAACAAATCTCATTTTGATACACCTAGTGGTCTAGAAGTTATGACTTGTCTAATAGATTCGTTGACACCCGGTATATATATTCGTCCTTTTTCTTGTCACAGAAAAAATAGTGTATTATAAAGAGGGAAAATCTGTCGTACAGTTTTCATGAAATATTGAAATCACAATACTCCTAACATAACGACATAACAAAAGACCATTATTTTTTCAATAATTCTTGAATATACAGGCTATTTAAAATTTCGGGAATAAAAAAAACACACCCTGTAAATAATCGTACCTTTATCCGCGTTACCGAGATTCTGATCCTGCACCTCCTTGAAGCTCATCCACGGGGTGTTGAAGCCGCCAGCGCCAGACCGAGCGCTGATATTTGTCGCATCCATATTCGCCCCTTCGCCGTCGTACCAACCACGGATGCGGTAGCACTCCTTCATCTCGGGATTTACTAGACGAAGGAACAGACGTACACCCAAGTAATATTAATGCTCTTATAAGGATCTTCAAGGTCGCTTTGAAACTACACAATTAAATTTCCAATGAAACCAAGTCAAAATAAAAACCCAATTTGAGAAATAATTATTTATACACCAAGGTCAAAACTAAATGCTCTATCCTAGTGGGCTACTTATATACTAAGTATATGTCCACCCAACCGTGAAAAGACAACACGTGAGGTATGTAGTTTTTGAAAGGTATCAGATTAGTAAAGATGTAGTTTTCATTAGGTATTAGATTAGTATAGAGGTCAGATAATTTATACGACGCTATAAAAGCAGATATTTCATCATTGCTCATGTAAGATGGAAGTAGAGGCCATGGCACCTTATCATGAGCATATTTTTATATTGAAACTATCATTGGGCACCAAAGATGTGTATACGACGCTATGACAGTTCAGAGAACTGGAGATTTTTTCCACAAACTACGTACTTAGCCCACTCGACTGTCTTGGTTTTTTCCACACAAACTACGTACCTAGCCCATTCAACTGCCAATAGGGACTGAAAAAACAAAAACAAAAGAAAGTTAAAACAATGCCAACATATTTCTTCTTTGTGGGAACACAAGACAGTCGAGTGAGCTAGCAGCTAGGTATGTAGTATGTGGGAAAAAATCAAGACAGTCGAGTGAGCTAGGTACGTAGTTTATTGGCAAAAATTAAGACAGTCGATTGTGCTTTTTTTACTTTCTTTTGTTTTTTTGTTCCGTTTCCTATTGGCAAGTGATTATCTAGGAACTTGTAAATTTTTTAGTTTTTTCATCGTATCTCCCGAACTATTGAATTCAGAGAAGAATGTTATATGGATTTTTTGTAGATTCTATCAAAAGGAATAATTTTGGTTCTATAACATTTTCAGATATTTTCAGTTGTTTTCGAGATATTTGGAATCATCTGAGAATAAAATTGTCAACACTTGTTCCATCTTTCAATCAACAACAGGAAAAAATATTTCATAGTTCAGTGGAAGTCGATGATCTTCATCTATCGATAATCTTTTGTTTTTCAATATATCTTCATGGTACCCTATGGGTCGTTCAAATTTTTTTTCTTCATATTTTTCACTTTATTTCCTGTACTATTGGGTTTACAGAAAAAATTTTGGATAATAATTTGTAGAAAATGTTCCAGTGGATAACTTTGCACTCCTGATAATTTTCGATTTTTCCATTTGTTTTCGATATATATTGAATTGAAAGGATTTAAAATTTTGATGTTTTGATTTTCATTTGTTCTGCCATTTTCCGATGGATGCACGAAAAAATGGTGAAAAAATAATTTGTTGCGTCATCAAAGAGGCATACGGTGCATTTTTCAAATTTGGATTTAGTCAATTGGTTCAGGAGATATGTCGTTTTAAAGCGAACCGTATGTTTCGGAAAATCTCCTTGAAAAGCCCACTTGGAATTTCCCGACCCAGCTCAATTTCAATAGGCTTCGTCTCTCCCTGATAGATTTTTTTTCACAAAAAATGAAATCGATCGGACCACTTTTGCGATTTGTAGAGTGGTCACAAGAAACTTCCGGTGAAAGATCGAGAAAACCCGGAAAAAACACCTTAGAGTTTTCCGATTTCCATCATATTTTAAAGACATAATATTGTTTTGAGTACAATAAGATGGCAAAATTTCAAGTCGATATGTCAAAGGGTTCCGGAGATATATCGATTTATGATTACCACAGAGTACAGACAGACAGACAGACAGACAGACAGACAGACAGACAGACAGACAGACAGACAGACAGACAGACAGACAGACAGACAGACAGACAGACAGACAGACAGACAGACAGACAGACAGACAGACAGACAGACAGACAGACAGACAGACAGACAGACAGACAGACAGACAGACAGACAGACAGACAGACAGACAGACAGACAGACAGACAGACAGACAGACAGACAGACAGACAGACAGACAGACAGACAGACAGACAGACAGACAGACAGACAGACAGACAGACAGACAGACAGACAGACAGACAGACAGACAGACAGACAGACAGACAGACAGACAGACAGACATACAGACAGACAGACAGACAGACAGACAGACAGACAGACAGACAGACAGACAGACAGACAGACAGAAGTAACTATACCTCTATCTCGCTTAGTTTCCGAGATAGCATTTTTGGCAAGGCCGTAGTATACTCCACTATGTATAGCGACGTATAATAACCGCCAAGTTAATGTTATTGATGGTTGCATTCACATGTTATATTACTGAACCATACAGAGGGCTAAATGGGATAGGTCCATTATCCTTATTCATCAGTCTATTACTATCGCCTATTGCTACACCAGATACATTTTGCACAACAATGTTCAGAAGGAAATGGCCTGTTATTAAAAAAAAAACGTCCAAATCGGACCAGCGCATACAACTTCTCGCCTCATTATTCCCCAAGAACTACTACAAATAACTGCTGAATTTTTATAAAATTGTGTGAAGGATTCTCTGGATTAAAGAACGAACGATTTTTGCAAAAAAGTTTGGACACTCCCGAATTTCAACGGAATTGGTTAAAACAAATTCACGATTTTTACGAACAAAAGTTCCTGCAACTTAAAAACTATGCAACTTCCCGTCTGAGAATTCTCCTACTTAATATATGGCTCAATTATCGTCTTACCACCTACATAATATAACACTGCCAATAAAAAAAATTGGTAACTGATTCTTATGATACCCATTTACGCCTACCGTCCTTTTAAAAGGACTTCAAAACGGAACCTGTATTTTTCTGATTCACCTAACGGTTTGTTAGTGTCGACAGTGTCACATTATATTTAATTGACATAGTGAGAAAGGTCAATGGCGATCGTTAGGATTTTGTAGTTTTGGATCGAAAGTGACGGTTAAAAAACGCTGTGTTTCTAGTAATCTTGCAATGAGTGACTCAAGGTAAGACATGTTGAGACTCGTTTATTTTTTTGATTATTTTAATTTACCCACTTTTCTTCATATTTGTGGTTATGTTTCACACTTCTCGATCAATCCAGGGGCGTTCAATTGAACGACTCCTTTTTAAAGGACGGTAGGATTATATGCTACAATGCGTTTTTTACAGGTATTGGAAAAATCCACTGACCATTTCAAAGCACTTAGAGGAATTGAAGAATGACTACGCCGGACATTCCTACAGGCATTATAATTATCAACCCTAAATGCCAACGAAAGCTGCGATAGCGATGAAGATTCTGGGGCTGAAGACGATGTAGTTCCGAATAATTCACCCGGAGTGCAACTAAGGGCCATTGCGTAAATTGAATTTGACGTGGAAGGTGATGACGACGGGACAGTGATGACGATCTACCACTATCCACTTTTGTTGAAAGGCCACATAAACTCAAAAAGACGTTTGACTATACTCTCAATGGAGATTTAGATTCTATGTAGTTCAAACTGCACAAAACAACCGTTCCCATGGAAATATGTTCAAGATGTTTTTTGATGAAAACCTCAATAAAAACTTTGTTGGATTAACTGTCAATGTTAGCAATATTTATGCACAACAAAAAAAACGCCCCGTAAATTTACTGCAGACGAGAGACACTGCTTCTTAGGGGTGTAACTTGTCAGTGGATAGACAACTGTTCCAAGGCGACATTATATGTATTGGCAAAATTGCAACGAACTTTTGTCAGCCGCTATTTCCAAAGATAGATTTCAATTCATACTAGCCTTGCTGAAAATTACAAGTACCCTGAACTGTGTCCCTTTTTCAACAGCTCAAACAAAAACTTTTGATCTTGTCCCAGTTGGTTCCAGTTGACGAGAATCACAGCTTTGATGAGGCTATGATACCGTATTTTGCGGTAAGCAATTTATTTAAGGCAAGCCTATAAGGTGGAGTTACAAATTTTTAGTGGATACATTGTTTATTTTGATCCCTACCAAGGTGCGTCGACAACAATTCCAGAGAAACATAAATACACGGGTTTGGGAGCGTCGGTTGTTCTCCAATATGCTGATGCTTTACAAAATATGCCTTACCAACCCTTTCACCTCTTTATTGACAATTTCCTCACATCTCTGTCACTTCTGAGGGAGCCAAAATCTTGCTAAGGATTTTGTGAGTCATAAACACGAACACATAACCAGACAAAAAGATATGTAAACCCTCATCAGAATTAAATCAGATATGGGTAAAAGATCTATTTTATACAATGGAACAATTCTCCACAATGACTTACCTGCCAGACTAAAGAACAAATTAAGTGTTGAGAAATTCAAAAAAGAACTGAAAAAATACTTATGTCTTTGATTCTCTTTATATCATCCTGAATCAATTCAAGAAATTATATTCAACAGTCTCTAGAAGAAACAACATTATATGTATTATGTATATGATTTAAAAATGATTATCTGATTATCTAATTTTTGTTTTTTAGTTGCTCTTTCATAATTTTCCCTGCTATAAACATATATGTTTCTTGGGAATAATAAAGATAATAATATAAAAATAATTTTGAATCTTCATTTATTTCTCTATTAGTAGCCCTTTATCCTACCGTCCTTTTAAAAGGACCGCTGTTTTTTCCAAAACTGGAGATTGAAAAATGTTTTTATGATTTTCTCTCCACCTATTGGACCTTTTATTGATCGATTTCAAGGAAATAATATATAGAATCGGAAAAAAATAGTTTCAGGGTCAAATGGGTTAAGAAGAAATCGATTTTTCAACACCCTGTATCTTGGAAGCTATGCAACTTCTAGTCAGAAAATTCCCCAAGCAACTTCTCGTCTCAGATTACTGAAAAGATCACCTCTTGAAGTTTGGCCACATACTTAATCAACGCCCTGTATAAAATTCAATCGATTTTTGCATACTATCCTACCTTTGATGTTTGAGCTGGATACCGTGGAAAGAGATTTGCCACCGCCGAACTCAGTAACACGAGCTCCCTTGATTACCAAAACTGGGTTGTTGGTGCCATCAAAGCTTTCTGCTTCTGAACCCCAAAGGGTCAAAGCCACCTGAATGAAGAAATTATGGACGAATAGTTTGAAAAATAAATTTCAATATGATTCCTTTCAAGTTTTTGTAGTTTTCAAATTTCCTTCACAATGTGTGTTACTCAAAATAATTGCAAATCAAGGGGGAGTTGGAAGTTGTAATTATTCAACTCCATTATGGAAGGGTCACAGCCACAGCTACACAAAACTCAAGATATATTATGAAAAAATCAATTGATATTCAATTCCTGGAATGATTTCAAGTAATTTTAGTTATTTTTTCCCAATCTAGTAATTATCCTCTACATGGGTAGGTACTTAGGAGGATGTTTCAAATTATTTGCAAAAGAAAAGAGAGTTCAAAGCTTCCCATTGACATTCTAATTATTGAACTTCATTGTAGAATCTACCAAAAATATCAGATTGAATTTATGGCAAAAACCTTGGCAATTATCCACTTTCTAGTTAGTCTGAAATCTTGATACAAAAAGCTTTTTTGCTAATGAAAATTCATCATTTGAAATTCAGGATCATTCTAATAGATATCCTTTGAAAGCAGTGGAAATCAAAATGGACATGAGTTTTTCTTTAGAAATTATCTTCAATGTTACTTACCGCCGTTTTGGACTGATCAACCAAAGTAACATCTTTTTTTTTCAACTCTCTACCAGTGCTTTTTGCTTGAAATGTTTGCAAGTCACTGACACTTTTCACAACACCAATAATATCTAAAATCAAACAACAAAAAGATCAACATACTGTAGAAAAATTGAATCAATTTTTTTTTACAATTCAATACAAATACCAAAATATATCTAAAATACCACAATAATATTTATGAAATCCAAGATGAGATAACTCTTTTAGGAACGTGATTCACACATTAGCTGTTTCCTATAGAGATTAATGTAAATACTTTCCAAACTGTTCAGTTCCCTTTATATTTTGCAACATATTTTTGTTCATTTGTCTCAGTTATGGGCAAAACTTGATTTATCTGAAGTGGGCAATATGTTCTTTGAAACTTGTGCTTGTGATCAGACATGTTTGCCCAATATATTTCATGTTAGTCATCACAATCAATTCCATAAATATATTTATCCCAATTTCAAATACTTATATTTTCATTATTTGAGTATTTTGGGTATATTTTTGTACCTGATTAGTTCACCATAAGTTCCAAAGTATCCAAAACTGAATAATTTAGTCTGTATATACATTTGAGAATTTTATTTTGAAGAGTTTTGAGAGGCTTTATAATTGATAGTTTTGTTGAACCCCATACATAAGTTTGTTCAATCAAGGATGGACAGACAACCATCCTTGTTGAGATGTTCCTTGTTCAATTTATTTTATGAATAGGTAACAAATAAACAAATAATAGTGGATTTCTATACAGGGTCCTGCAGGTTAATGTCAATTTAATTAGGAGCTTACAGGAGACATTGCAGAGAAGTTGATGGGAAATGTCAGGAGGATCCAAATCTACATATTTTTGTTCTAGAGCCAAAGGATAATAAAGTTGAATAGTTTTCTCTCCTAATTCAAAAAAATTGCTACTTTTGCATTGAAAACATAAAAAAACATAAAAGTCACTGACACTTTTCACAACACCAATAATATCTAAAATCAAACAACAAAGAGATCAACATACTGTAGAAAAATTGAATCAAATTATTTTTTACAATTCAATACAAATACCAAAATATATCTAAAATTCCACAATAATATTTATGAAATCCAGGATGAGATCTCTTTTCAGAAATTGATTCACACATTAGCTTTTTCCTATAGAGATTAATGTAAATACTTTCCAAACTGTTCAGTTCCCTATATAGTTTGCAACATATTTTTGTTCATTTGTCTCTGTTGTGGGCAAAACTTGATTTATCTGAAGTGGGCAATATGTTCTTTGAATCTTGTGCTAGTGATCAGACATGTTTGCCCAATATATTTCATTATAGTCATCACAATCAGTTTCATAAATATATTTATCTCAATTTCAAATACTCATATTATTATTATTTGAGTATTTTGGGTATATTTTTGTACCTGATTAGTTAACCATAAGTTCCAAAATATCCAAAACTTCATGTCAATCCAATACAAAGTAATTATTATCATTTTTTATTCATTGCTTACCTACTATGGTATTTGGTTCTGTATTGGCAATTTTATCAATGGTAACAAAATCATATTTGGTCTGTGGTATGGCAGAACTGTCTACATCATGACACTCTTGTATGATAGTTTCAGGAGTCATGGTCATTTCATAGTCATTTTTGAGTGTGCTGTATTGTTTATTGGCAGATTTCAGTTGGCATTTACTAATGAAATAAACTTTATCAACCTGCAATAAAGAATTGTCAATCCTGCCACACTATAAAGGAATATGGAGTCTTATTTCTCAATATTTCAATAATTCCACAATCAGATATTTGTTCAAAATTGGGAATCTATAAAATAAAAAGTGAATTTTATATCAGTACACTTTCAACCAAAAATGAATTTTTTTTAGAAAAAGAAAGAAAGAAGAAAAATCATAAGTTTTCAGTGTTTGACAAGGCATTTGAGATGCCAGTTTGTACTCTCTTCATGGTGATTTCAAGCTTTGAATTTCTCTACAATAAATATTTATTCCATAATTATTTCAAAAGTGAAAAATTGTACCTGAACATAATCATAAAACTTGTCAACCATGTCTTTGAAACCTGTGAGCCTAATTTCACCACTTTCATCACACAAATCAAGACTGAACAATTTTCCTTCTCCTCTGGAATTGGACCAAGTTCGAATAGAAGATTTGTTTGTGACTCTAGCTTTAATAACCCACCTGAAAATATGAAATTTTCAATAATTTGTCAACAGTGAAGTTCAGAAAGAAATTTACTTGTTATGATAAGGACTTAGACTTGAAATGGGATGTGTCATCTGATTGGAAAGATTTTCACTTGTATCCATAGGTGGTGTTGGATTGTTACTAGTTGCAGGCTTGTTATACACAACACTAGAATTTGTACTGGTACCATTGGTATTGGTATTGCTAACATTTGTTTTGGGAGCTGAACTTGATGAATCATTAGTTAACTGTACTGGAGAACCAATTTTCTCTCCAACTTCTGCTCCAGAAGCAATCAGCTTCAGTTCCAGAATCAATAGAACTCGACTACAAATCATTTAGTGCACAAACAATTGAAAAATAATTGAAGAAAGTGATAGGGAACTGTAGATGAAAAACTCACGCATCTCCTACTCCTTTAGCTTTGTTGTCGATGACACTGGTGATATACTTGTCGATTTGAATCACTGAATACATTTCAAGCACATCAGGACCCACTTGATCTCTAACCTGTGTGGTGAGCATTGCAAAGGATATGGTGTTTTTGCTGTCAGAGAGCACCACACGGTATCGTTCTTTGTCGGCAGCGCCAGCGTTGATCCTCTTGCTCGCCAAAATCTGCATTATGGGATTGGGGTATTTGCCCCCTTGCATTATGATCTATCAATTGAAATAGGTTGTTTAGCTGCAATAATTTTTAGTGACATTGTTTGTTACCTCTAGGGATCCCGCAGATAGGTTGTACTTAGCAGACATTGTAAATTCAAGGTGTATTGGTTTCTAATCAAAAATTACGAAAAATGTCTTCATTCACATGTAATCACAACTGAAAAACTAATTTGACATTTGGTTTGGCGGCAATATACTGACAGATGACAAATGATGGTAAAGATGTACCTTCTGGCCCATTGCAGCAATCTGCAATGATTCATAGATCTGAAGAAGGCGAAATAAATTTGAGAGAAGAAGGCAGTAGCAAGAAACAAGAATAAGAATATCCGTACTTACTGGACAAGAGGCCAATAAATAAGAAGAGGAAGAATTTTTTAGGTTATGTTTAAAATTCATGACAAAGCTCCAGGAAAATTGTAAATAAAAGTATCATAATAAACCATAAAATAATTTTGGGCTTGCGGTGAACGTCGTATGGTCAACATCGTCAGCGTGTCGTATAGAATTTTACCGGTGAAATCCTGCTACCTAATCATAACCTGTGTCCTGTAGTAGAAGCAGTAGAAGGGTGTATATTTCTGATAACTAAAACAAGTAAGTGTATGTAGTTGTCCTGTCTGGGGTAATTTTTCTGGGAAATAGTAGAATTTGGGAAATTTTTTTCCTGTTATACATAACATATTTTTTCGGAATTGTAAAATCTTATTCTTGGCTTTAGTTCAAAATGGGTGATAACTCCCCCGGTGATCCCGGGGGAAGTTTAACTTCTCTCAGTAAAGATGTTTCGGAATGCAAACAATTGATAGATAGATCGCCTTCCACTAGGGAAGCGGTTGGCAATTTATTCTTATTCGCGAACAATCATGAATTCAATCCTCATATATGTAATGAATTAATTTCAAATATTAACATCAATGAGGAATTTATCTCTGAATTCAATGAAACTATAAAAGATGGATATTACTTTGATGAAGAAAGTGATCTCAAGGTCAAATTTCCTTCATCAAAAATAAACATTTTATCAGACCTGTTGGTGAAAAAAGCCGACTCTTTAGATAGGAATGTCAACAAAAAAACTCCAAGGACAGAAACAAATAAACCTAGGGAGAGCAAGAAATCTAAAATAGATAATGGAAATAAAAATAACCTTGATAATAACTCAAAGGAATCAACTCCTCAAAATGATTTAATGGATTGTAATTATGAAAATAATGCTACAGGAAATAATAATATTAATACTGATCAAGAAAATAGATTTGATAAATCTGATTTTGGCCCATTCTCTATTTATATTGAATCTTTAGACAAAAACATTGGTTTTCTATCCAATTTAGCGGTAGGCAAAATATTCCATCAGAGCACAAGATATAACCCAACTTCTATTGAGAGGAGAGGGAAAAATAGACTGCTACTTACCTTCAAAAAAATAGAGGAGGCAAATAATTTGCTAGAAGATAATCATTTCTTAACAAAAAATAACTTTAATGCTACCATTCCTAACAACTTGATCACATGTAAGGCGATTGTTAAAGATGTTGATACCACTTTTTCTGAAGAGGAAATAAAACAAAATATTAAAACAATAGATAATAGGAAAATAGTTCATGTGAGGAGACTGAAGAAAAAGAATATAGTTAATGGTGAAATGCAATATATAGATATTCCAGTAATATTAGTAACTTTCAGAGGGAAATATATTCCCAAAAACATTTACATATACAATTGCGTTTTTGAAACTTTAAACTATTATGCACCAGTTATTCAATGCCACAATTGTTTAAGATACGGACACACTAAATTACAATGTAAAGGAAAAACCAGATGCCCGCAATGCGCAGGAAATCATGAAAAAAATCTATGCCATGAAAACGAACCTAGATGCCTATATTGCAATGGTAACCACCTTTCAAATGAAACTGACACCCCCTTCAGAAATAGAATTTGCCCAGAATTTTTAAGACAAAAAAGAATCAAAGAACTTATAGGGGAAAGGAACATAACCTTTTTCGAGGCCGCTAAACTAGTTCCAAACACAACTAGCAACATTAATAGTGGAAATAATGATCAAACTCAGAAAAATCAACACAATTTCAATGTCAATAACTACCCAGAATTACCTAAGCCTAGCCAGACTATGTCTCAAATATTCAATGAAGCAACCCCCCCTAGACCCAAAATTCCAACTCAATACAACCAGGCTACTAAAAGAGGCCCTAACATTAGTTCTAATACCTTTACCAGAGTAATATACCCCAAAAATCGGCAAGACCACTCTCAAGACAAGAGAACACAGAGAAGTGGGGTTGATGAGGAGCATAAAAAAGGCCTTATCAACCCTGATGGTCGAATCAGAGAAACGGTTACCCCTATATATAATTACTCCCTCGGGCCCCCTCCACCAATCTCCGTTATCTTACAAAAAATGAGAGATGATATGAGTAATATCTATTTCAAATACCCTGATTTATTTCTCGAAGTTATTAAGGAATTCGTTCCACCCACTTGTTCAAACCCAAACACTCTAACAGACCTAAACAAAGAAGCTAGTCCATGGACAGGATCAAACTAATAATCTGGAATATAAGAAGCTTCCATTCAAATAAAGCCAACTTGATCCAAATTATAGAACAACATGAACCTGATCTAATTTTCTTAACAGAAACTTGGTTTAAGCCAAATACAGTAGTATCTATCAGAGGATATAAAATAATTTTACATAACAGAGATGATGGAAAGGGGGGATCAGGGATAATGGTCAAAAACTGTGTTGATTTCAGCACATTAGACCTGAATTTCCCTATCCCCAATAAGGTCAATATTTTAGGAATCACTCTGAAGGATATAAACTTTCTCTCAATATATATTCCCCCAGATGTCTTAGTAGACGAAGAATTCTGGTATAATTGCACAGACAGTCAAAAATTTATTATATGTGGAGATTTTAATGCCCATCACAAAAAATGGGGAAATTCTATCACCAATAGAGCAGGGTTAGTGCTTAATACATTGATCGATGATGGCAGAATAATTATTAATAACGATCTACAACCTACTGTCCTAGCTCTGCACTCTAAAAGTGTAATTGATCTCATGATTTCGTCTCCAAATCTATATAGAGATATTCAAAATTGCATAACTTTGGAGGATACACATGGTTCCGATCACTTTCCTATTTTATCAGAAATCAGTTTAGGATATTCCGTAAACAATATAGGGCTGTCTGATCCAATCAGTAGTAATAATAATACATTATATAAATATAAAAAAACGGACTGGAAAAAATATGAACAATACATAGACTCAATAGAAATCAATTCATATGAAGATCTGATTCAAGGAATTAAAGTAGGCATAGAACAAAGTACCCCCACAGTAAACAGAAATTCCAAATATAATCACATTCAAAAACCACCATGGTGGGATGATGAGTGCTCGTCAGCAATAAGGGAAAGAAAACAAAAATTCAAACGATATAAAGAACACTCTAATCAAGAAAATTACATTGAATTAAAGAAAGAAATTGCAAAATCCAGGAGACTGTTCAAAAGAAAAAAGAAAAAATCTTTCTTAGAATTTACAGAACAACTTTCTAGAGAAACAGACATATCCTTAGTATGGAATAACATCAAAAAATTCTCCAGACCATTTGTACACCAACAAATGTACTCACATAGGAACTTGAGTGATGATGAATTTAATGAAGCTTTATTAAATAAATTCTGCCCCTGCGATGTTCAACCACCTCCCATGGGCTCATATATAAATTATGTAAATAAAGATATCAATTACGTTTTTACGGAGAGAGAAGTCAGAATCACAATTGAAAAATTAAAAGACTCATCCCCTGGAAAGGATGGAGTATCCTATAACATGATTAAAAACCTTCCTAATAATGCATTCAAATGGCTTGTAAGATTCTTCAATGACTTATGGATGAGTAGAGTAGACATCCCTAAAGAATGGAATAATATCATTTTGATCCCTATTTTAAAACCAGGAAAGGACCCCAATAACATCAATAACTATCGGCCCATAGCATTGTCATCTTGTCTTAAAAAAGTATTTGAACATATAATAAAAAATCGCTTAGAATGGTGGATTGAACATCATAACATCCTTCCGGAGAATCAATTTGGTTTCAGGAAGGGAGCAGGTACTAATGAAGCTCTTTACAATCTGTATATAGATACCCAAAATAGCAACTTGAAAAAAGAAAAAACTGTCGCGTTATTCATAGATCTACAATCCGCTTATGACAACGTAATACCGGAAATACTAATTATTAGTCTTCGCAACCTGGGAATCAACCAAAATGTCATAAAAATAATTTATGACTTGAATAAAGAAAAGGACATTTATATCAGAGACAAAAATCACAAGCTATGGGGTCCCAGAAAACGGTACAAAGGTTTGTTACAAGGAGCGGTACTCAGCCCGATTCTTTTTAATTTATATACAGTTACTTTGTGGGATGCGATATCTCCCCATTGTAACTATTTACAATACGCCGATGATATAACAATATATAAAGCTCATAAAAATATTCAAATTGCAAAACATCATTTGGAAAGAGCCCTAGAATCTATGGAAATGTGGTTAGAAGATCATGGATTAAACATCTCGCCGGAAAAAACCAAATTCATGATATTTTCCAAGAATCACAACCAAGAAATATTGAATATTAAAATATCAAATCAAAACATATCCCAAGTGGACCAGTACAAATTACTCGGTCTGACCTTTGATAGAAAAATGACATGGAGGGAGCATGTCAATGTAACAATTGTTAAATGTAATAAAATTCTAAACATATTAAAGTATTTGGCAAAAGTAAGCTGGGGTGCAGACCCCAAAATAATGTTAAACGTACATAATGCGCTTATATCATCTAGAATCGAATATGGATTGATGTTATACGGGAATTCCTGTAAAACCAACATGAAAAAGATATCTACCATCCAATATAATTCTTTGAGAATCTGCCTGGGATTAATGAAATCATCCCCTACGAATGCGATTCTAGTAGAATCAAACCAATTCCCGATTAATATTAAACAAAACTTGATCACACTCAAATTTATTAATAAACATTCGACCATCAATTCGAATCCAATTAGAAAAAAAATGCTAATCTTTGAACAAAGAGTCAGTAATACAAATAGAAATATCATGAAAGAGAGCATCTTATATAAATCCATAAGGGAATCCCTGACCCCCCCTCTAAATCAAGTTATGTCATCTAATGAACAACTAATATTCAAAAATCCCCTAGATATTCAATTTGAAAAATTTATCTGTATAGATAATATAGGTATAGAAAAATCCGAAAAAATGTACAGGGACAATAATAACGCCAAGTTTTGTAGTATAATCAGAGAAAAATGGCCTGATCATAAAATTATATTTACAGATGGATCAAAAACCGTTGGCAAAGTATCCTTTGGTATATACATTCCCCATAAAAATCTAGAAAAGGGCGGAATTATACATCCTAAATCATCCATATTAACAGCAGAACTTACTGCGATATATATCTCACTTATTCTAATAAAAGATGAGCCTGATAAGTACTTAATATGTACAGACTCAAAAAGCGCAGTAACAGGACTACAAAACAATCAAGTAAAAATAAACTCAAACGAAATGTTTTTGAAGATTAAAAATATATGGTTTGAACATCAAAAAAACAACTTTAAAATTAAACTATGCTGGATTCCCGGACATAGTGACATTGAAGGAAATGAAAAAGTGGACAAGATAGCAAAAAATGCCAATATTCCTTTCAAAATAAACAAAATTCAAAGTATAGACTTAATACCTCACATTAGGTCAAATATGAGATCTAAATTCCAAGAATTCTGGACTCAATCATCAACCCTGAGGGGAGTTTCATATAAACAAGTCCAACCAACAATACAAGTAAAACCATGGTTTAATAATTGCCAACCCCTTCCTAGGAAGACGTTCACTTCTTTGATTAGACTGAGGATAGGACATACTTGCCTTCCGAAACACCTTCATAGAATAAAAATTAGGGACGATGAACTATGTGAATGCGGTGAAATAGGTGACATTAATCATCTTTTATTTGAATGTGAGAATAACAAGGAAAATATCGATATACTATATAAAGAACTCATAAAAATTGGACTACACCCTCCATTATCATACCAGATGATACTTACCGACTTAAATGAGGAAAAAATAAAAATTCTTGGAAAATTTATTGAGAAAAGTCAGGTCAAAATATAAAACAAAAAACAAATTCTACTATTCACCCAAAAATTTCAATCTGAAAATATTCTTATCTCTATTGTGTTTTGTCTTATAGGTCTATGTTATTTGATTGGGAAACTTTCTAATTGATTGTATGTTGTTCAATATCAATGTCTAAACAACCTCAACCTACTAAAAATGGGATCTAACAAAATCCAAATATAATCCTAACAATTCCTATTCCTGAAACAAAACTCACCGGATCTGGTGGAATTGACACCGCAAGGAGTCAGAAAACCAAGAAAACTAAAAGAAGAAGAAGAAGAAGTAAAATAATTTTTTCTAGTATGTCTGGTGGTAGTGTTTCAGTTTTAGCACCAAATGGAAGAAGACAAACTGTCAAATGTACGCCAAACACCACATTATTGCAGGTCTCTAACAAAATGCTGTTGCTCTAAAAATAAATAACTATGTTCTATATTAGGTCTTGGAGGAAGTGTGCAAAAAGCAGAGTTTCGATGCCGGGGAATATGATTTGAAGCACCACAACAAGGTTTTGGACACAACAACCACTTTTAGGTTCTCAGGACTGCCTAATAATGCCCAGCTGGAAATGGCTCCTGCTTCAAAGCTACGTTTAGAGTCAGAAATCACTCTAGCTGTGAATTTGGAGAACGGCAACCGACTGATAGGCTCCTTTACACCTAGTGTAAGTCTTGTAAATGTGTTGGAACAGCTCTGCCCTGAAAGTCTTGCAGCAGATAAGCACCCTGTTGTCATCTATACAAGAAGAGAGATTTATGGAAAAGAACTGGGAAGTGTCACACTTAGAGCACTAGGTTTGACAGGCGGAAGAGCAATGATCAGACTCATAAATAAGCCCCCAGAGGAATTGAAAACTCAAGCCAATGTAGCAACACTTTTGCCTTCAAAACCTGTGGAGGAGAAACCCTATCAAAGAAAGTTTCAACCACTTGAGAAAGAAGAGGATTCTTCAGGAAACAGATCACAAACCTCACAAAAAGTTGATGATTCAGCCAAAGAAAGTTCTGACACTAAAGAAATCAAGCCTGAAAAACTACAGAAGAAAGCTAATGTAGATTTACTGAAGTTAGCCAGAGAAAAACGTAAAAATAATGATTATCCCTCTCCACACCAAGATGAGAAGAGAAAGAGTTTGTCAGAAAGCCAGGTTAAAAATGGGCATGAAGTAAAAGCCAAACAACAGAGATGTACATGCAAGAGGGATAGCTCAATGGAGGTAGATTGTTGTGGGAATTGTGAAGAAGCATGCACAAACATTGAACAGAATATGGAAGATGAATTTGTATTTGTAAGTATTGAAATGGGGACAGCTACCTGCTAGGTAATGATCAGGATATCACATAAAATTGCAATATGCCAGTATAGGTATCATGACAATAATCTATCACTGATTATTTTGTTTTTTATGCCCTAAATCATCTTCTAGATATAAAAATCTATGGTTCTGCTAGGTTTATACAGAGCTAGCAGAACCACTCAATATCTACCAATTTTTTCAATGACAATAGTATGATTTGTTGTTGATTTTTTGCTAATTGATTAACACAGCATATGAAATTCTTGGCTGATTTTATGAAAAAAAAAACAAAAGGTCACAAATTTCTATTATCAATCAATCAATCAACTTTATTATTCCCAAGAAACATTTGTTTATAGCAGGGAACATGGTGAATACATAAATATATTTGACAAAATAAAATAAAGAAGACAGTAAAATAAGACTCACACTCAAGTTCAACTGAAAATGATTCTCAATTGACTCAGCTGTTAGGTACCCAATAGAAAACTATAGTAGTTGTACAAGAAAACTATAAAAATGAGATAAGATGTCAATATTACAGGAGTAGATGTTTATTGAATTATCTTTTGATTTTTTCAATCCTATTAATCAGCTTCAAGTTATTTGGTAGTGAATTGTATTGTATCATTCCATTGTGATGGATGGATTTTTTACCAATATCTGATTTGATTTTCTTGACAGAAAAATGATCTGCTTGTCTAGTTGTATGGTTGTGGTGATTACTATTAATTTGGAAAACCAAATTTGAATGCTTTCGACAATGTTTAACTGTATGAATGAAGGACATTAATTTGAATTTATACAGTGAATCTATATCTAATAACTCTCTTCTTCTGTAAAGGTTCATACAGGGCCGATCCTAGCGGGTGTGCAGCGCGTGCCCCGCACGCGGGCGGCCAAAACAAGGGGCGGCCGCAGGCCGCATATTGTTCTATCAAACAAAATTATTTGAAACTCATAAGTCGAATGGATATGCTGCATTTTGAATAAATAAAATGATAGTAAATAGTGTGTTGGTCCATTGTCAATTTATGTCTACTTTTTATACACATTCTTATCTTCCCAAATTTTAAATTTCTATTGGAAACAATAACCAAGGGGCATATTTTTCAGACGCCTAAGGATGTTTTGTTCCATCACTGTGCGGTAGCTTATTTATGCATTTCTACTACTTACTAAGAGACTATGAGAGAAAATCCCAAAAAATCTGGAGAACATCCACTTGGTTAAACTACAGACACCATTTGAAATACTTTTCACTTGCTCTTCTTATTGTTCTTATTTTCAGATTCCAGATCATTTTATATCAATTACAATAAACTGTAATATACTAATGTGATGAATTTGAATCCCAACAAAAATTTCGCCTGCGGCGCATTTTTTGCCATAGGAAAATTTTGTCTGAGTTTCTTGGCCGCTCCCGGTATGCACTGAAATGGAGTTATTACCTGAAAGCATTTGACCTTGAACTCAGAAAAAATTCGCCTGCGGCGCATGAAGATTTTGTCTACATTTTTTTCTGTGTTTTACTTCTTATCCTTGTACAAGTAGTTGAAGTTATGAAGTCATCAGGTATTATAGTTAAAAAATATGAAAAATTCTCTAGAGGGGCGGCACATTAGGTTTATGCACGCAGGCGGCCAACACCCTCGGATCGGCCCTGGGTTCATAGTAGGTTTTGAATAATTTAGTCTGTATATCCATTTAATAATTTTATTTTGAAGAGTTTTGAGAGGCTTTATAATTGATAGTTTTGTTGAACCCCATTCATAAGTTTGTTCAATCAAGGATGGACAGACAACCATCCTTGTTGAGATGTTCCTTGTTCAATCTATTTTATGAATAGGTAACAAATAAACAAATGATAGTGAATTTATATACAGGGTCCTGCAGGTTGATGTAAATTTAATTAGGAGCTTACAGGAGACATTGTAGAGAAGTTGATGGGAAATGTCAGGAGGATCCAAATCTACATATTTTTGTTCTAGAGCCAAAGGATAATAAAGTTGAATAGTTTTCTCTCCAAATTCAAAAGAATTGCTACTTTTGCATTGAAAACATAAAAAAACATAAAATTTCAGGAGGATTCTGAATTTACATATTTTTGTTCTACAACCAAAGGATAAGGAAGTTCCAAATTTTTCTAGCCGTATTTAAAAAATTGCTACTTTTGCATTGGAAACCATCTAAGCGCATGTAAAATTTCAAGAGGATTCTAAATCAACACAAATTAGCAATTTTTCAAATTTGGCAAGAAAAATAGGGAATTTTTGTTATCTTTTGGTTCTAGAACAAAAATATGTATATGTCGGTGTCAAACAGTGAAATCCGTCATTCTCTGGAATGCCTAGTCATTTCACGTATTGCCGGCAAACAGCGCAACTCTAAATTTCATACACTGTTTGCCTAAGAGTTTCAGGCATTTCCTGTAATGACGGATGGAAGGTTCATTTAGGTCCAGTCAGCTTAGGTTGTTTAGAAGCAGTAGTCTCTTCTGTTCTCTCAAGTAATTTTCTGAAAAATATACTTTCAAGGAAGAAGGTTCATTTAGGCGGAAAAATAGTCTCCCTTATGCATATGCACAAAGGATATTTTTCTTCCTCAACCCTCCGGCAAACAGAGTAACGGCTGAAAATGGAAGTTACGCTGTTTGCCGACAATATGTAAAATGACCTGGCATTTCAGGGAATGACGGACCACATATTCCTTAGACCAAAATAAGTACATTTAAGTAACAAAGTTGCATCGTTTGGGCTCCAGAGGGCCTTGAAGTTAAAATTTTCAAATCGTTTTTTCCATATAAATTTGAAACGGCAACGAAATTTGGTATATTGATAAAGTTTTATGTGGCAAAAAAAATGGTGTCAAAATTTTGTCCGATAATAATACATAGGCGTAGAACTTGATTTTTTAATTAATTGCACCTTTAAAAATTCTACGCCAATAGAAGAAAAGGAGTTTGAGTATGCCATTGGCGTAGAATTTTCAAAGATGCAATTATTTAAAAAATCAAGTTCTACGCCAATGGCAGAAAAGGAATATGTGGTATGTTTTTGTAAAGACCTTCACCGGCTACACCTCAGCCTCCTGGGCTTTTTGTGCATTCCAGTTCATTTTACAGCACCCATTCCGTAGCTCTTATTCCCTGCACCAGTCTGTACAGGTTGTTCACCGGTTGGCTGTTGTATTCTTCGGGAGTCAGCCTAGGCTGCCCGAATATTTCTTGTCTGTTGCGATCCAATGCCTCGCATTCTATTAATAAGTGTTTGGCCGTTTCTGTCCCTTTACCACATTGTCTGCAGAGAAGTTCTCCATTTTATTCAGGTGTCCTCTTGTTGGGCTGTGACCAGTGAGAAGTCCCGTTATTGTTCTGATTTGGTTCCTACTCATCACTAGTAGTTCTTCAGATTCATTTTGCGACGGTTCTTTAATGAATACTTTCCCGTGGTGCATGGCCATCGCTTATGTTTTCGCTCGATCCAGTTCCGTATTGTACGGGTTAGGGTTGTTTCACAAATAAGGCAAATGCAAAGGTCCGTTGGACAGTTTATTCTCAGCATACACCAATCTAAAATTGCGTAATCACATCAGTCCCGGCACATTACCTAACCTCAAACAAGCTTTACATATCAGTCTCCAGAAAGGAATAGTAGAAGAAGAGAGACTCCTATACATAATAATAGTGACTTACCTGAAACCAGGCACCCTGGCTCATAGTAGCACGCTATTATTCAACAGTTACACCCAAAGGCTTTTAGATTGCTTGATGCGCATCAAAATGGCTTCTCACAGCCTTATACGAAGTCCAAGCTTCAGCAGCAAGATCTTCGAGTTTGCAGGACAAGACGGCGCAAGAACCTACTGCGACTATCAATAATATTGAAATCTTACTCTCCGCGACACCTGAAGGAGAGTCAAACAAGGTAGGTAATGGTAAGGATACCGACTGATAGAAATCTAACGCGATACTTGATTAGCCGGACAGGTATCTGTAAGTTAGTGATCTCCGATCAAGGTATTTTGGTACAGTATATAGCCTCGGGTAGCTTTTTTTGTAATCCCGAGTACGGGTTCTGGGCCAATGTATGGAGTTGATGACCCGGTTCTTGCCAGTTCATCTGCTTTTTCGTTCCCTACGATGCCGCAATGCCCTGGAACCCATAACAGGGTAATTTTGTTATGTTCTGACAGGACATTGAGTTGTTCTCTGCATTCCCGTACCAGCCTGGATGTCACTTTCGGGTTCGTGAGAGCTTTCAGTGACGCCTGGCTATCGATGCATATTTTGATTCATACATTTCCGCTTGAAATACGGAAGTTTTTATTCCCAGTGAGAAGCTCATTTGGGAGTTTCTCCCTTCACTTTAAATTCCAGCACCAGAGCCTTCCTTGGTCTTGGACCCGTCTGTGTACCAGATCTTCTCTCCAGGTTTGCCCTTGATGTTATCATTTGTTCATTCCCCTCGATCTTGCATAACAACTCGAAGTTCATGTTGAAGCAGTATATTGGGGTAATGTGGTCCGTTGGTATCATTTCAAGAATGTTTCCTTCCACTATATCCTTCATCTTGTTGTGTCCCGATCTATCGCTCGTGGTTGGTAGCCTTAGATGTCCCATTCTAGCCCCTCCCATGATAACTATGTCTATAGGGGGAGTATAGAGATGATACTCTCCAAATGGAATACAGGACGAAATGACGACCGAAAATCTGTCTGTATTTGGTGGTCTAAAAATGCTCAAAGTGGAATAAAATGTATGTAAAAATACACCTGCATCAGTATTTGTTTATACGAATCCATGCACAGATTTCCAGAGGATGTAATTCAACGTTCTGCGTGGCATTATCCAGGAAATTAGTTGTTTTTCTCTCGTCATCTCATGAACATTAGTGAACATGATTTTTTTGAGTTTTTTCTTTCAGTTGGGCGAACGGAATGCCATGCTCTTTTCCCTGGAAACCGCCCAAGCGGTGCCCAGTGAAGATCTGCCCGACGATTTCTTCGATCTGACCATCGACGATGCCAGGAAAATATTGCGCGACGTGAAAAAACAACGTTTCCACATGGACAACACTCCATTGATGACGTCGGCATTGAGGAATCTGGAGAACTCCAAGAATCAGTTGAGACAGCTGAACAGATACAAGAAGGCGGTGGTGCGGGTGCAGTTTCCCGATAGGGCTGTACTACAGGTAGGTATTGAACTGGATCTCATAACTTAAAACTTAGAGATCTAGGATGAACAGAAACAGTTGCCCCAATTGTCAGCAGGAGCAGGACAGCAGTGTTCCGGGCCACCAGGCCTCATCAGCCGTTCTCGGTCTGCTGACAACTGGGTCAACTCTACGCTTCGGGTATACAGGGTATTACAAATTCATGGCTAAGCATGGGGATCTCGGTAACCTAAAAATAATTGTTCTGAAATTGTTATTATCCATCATTCGGTTGCCCCCTTACGAGCTACCCTCAAAAGTCTTCAAGAGACTTTTAACGTGTGATCCCAAACACTTTCTTTGGCCATCAGAAAATTTTCTGCAGTCATGGTGGGAATCAAACCCACCTACCGGCAATCCAACGTGGATAGAACATTGACGCTTTTACCACGAGGCTACGCTGGCCATTCACTCACCTTAAGAGATATCCGAAAAAAAAAGAAGAAAATAGGCGAAATCGTTTTTACTCATTACTCAGTTTGTTTGAAGAGATGTTTCAAAATGAATGTTACTTCACCATTGCCACTTTTTCTACAAAATGTAATTGTCAAATTGGACGTCCAACGTTTATTCTTGGAGCGGCCATCATCAACCTAATTTTTTCAAATACAGACCTGGAAAATTTATTTCATTTTTCGATAGAGGTAAGACCATGAAGATCGCGACACAATGTATGACGCTGCCATCTACAGTGTGTCCCACTTACCATGCTCACCATGGGTATCTTTTTAACGGTGAGAGATACGAGGTCGCGTAAATGACACCAAACGTGCAGTTTGTCAAGGCCAACTATTATGTAAAAAAATATTTTGATAAAATCTATTCGTTTTTGTTTTATACGCAAAAAAAAGATTTCGATCATTTTCATGTCTCCTCCGTAACTTCTTTATTTATGAAAATATTCAAATAGGAATTTCACATTTTCGTGACAGTTTTTCAAAGTGATTTCGAAAAAAATATGAAATTTCTACCAACTCTTCTAGAATTTGAGATATCAGCACCAACTTGAGTTTTTCAAATGTAGATCATAGCTCACTATGACTTGGTTACAAATAACTTTTTTTTCTCTTACAGATGATATGTCGCAGTAATAGTTTTGTGTTGATAACAACGGAGTTATCGTCATTTATACAAAAACAAAAAATTATTTGGAAGCCGCCATCTAGAATTTATAAATTTTAACAAAAAAATCATGATCTCCGACCTCAAAAACCCCCACTTACCAATTTTGAATGAAATCGGACCAAATCTTGTCCGCCATCTTGGAGCAGCCATTTTTTTAATTTCAACAAAAATTCAATAACTCCGATCAACTTGAAATTTGGCAGGTGTTCATAATTTCGGTGACAATACATTATGGAATTTTTGTTGAAATTAAAAAAAATGGCTGCTCCAAGATGGCGGACAAGATTTGGTCCGGTTCCATTCAAAATTGGTAAGTGGGGGTTTTTGAGGTCGGAGATCATGATTTTTTGTTAAAATTTATAAATTCAAGATGGCGGCTTCCAAATAATTTTTTGTTTTTGTATAAATGACGATAACTCCGTTGTTATCAACACAAAAATATTACTGCGACATATCATCTGTAAGAGAAAAAAAAGTCATTTGTAACTAAGTCATAGTGAGCTATGACCTACATTTGAAAAACTGAAGTTGGTGCTGATATCTCAAATTCTAGAAGAGTTGGTATAAATTTTATATATTTTTTAAAATCACTTTGATAAACTGCCATGAGAATGTGAAATTCCTATTTGAATATTTTCATAAATAAAGAAGTTACGGAGGAGACATGAAAATGATCAGAATCTGTTTTTTGCGTATAAAACAAAAACGAATAGATTTTATCAAAATATTTTTTCACATTATAGTTGGCCTTGACAAACTCCACATTTGGTGTCATTTAACCGACCTCGTATCTCTCACCGTTAACAAGATACCCATGGTGAGCATGGTAAGTGGGACACACTGTATAGTCACACGTACAGACCTATGTCTATAACACGGGCATACAAATTGTCACTGACAAGCTAGTGAATTTTTCAAACGCAGTGACATTTTGGAGCAAATCATCTGATTCGCCCTTACTACAGGTATATTGAAATAATATTCATATTTTTATTCTATAAATACGAGGAGAGAAAATCCAAAAAAATCTGGAATAATGAATGTACCACCTCCTTGATTAACCTACAGACAGTTTATTCAAATGGTCTTCTTGGAAGTATCATTTCTCAAAAAAAAAACAGTGCATTTATACATATAAATTGGAATCACTAGTTTTTGTTCTTGCCTATTATAGGGTACTTTCAAGCCGACCGAGACTGTCAAGGATGTCGTTGAATTTGTGAGAGGGTTTCTGCAGGATACAAGCACTGAATTTTATGTTTGTAAGTACCAGTTGGATATTATCATTTTCCTTCGAAAATTCTTGTGATATGTTAGCTTCCAAAATATATTATTGATGATTTTAGCACCTAAAACTCGACCAACAAATTTGAAAAAAAAATGAAATTGAATGGTATCTGAGTGATAATTCTATTTAAGAAATAAAAAAAATTTATTTATTTATTTATTTATTTATTTATTTACGGGAAACCCCATTACATAAAAAAAATTTTGAAAGATAAATATTATTAATACTAAGTCTAAATCTAACTTATGAAAAGAGCTCCATGTTTCAAAGTACAGATTTAACCAGTGTTTTGAAACTATCAAAAGACCCATGAAATATGTCCAAACCATTTTCATTAATCAATCTCAATGTTCTCTCAATAGGCGAGTGTAGACCATAATTAGTAGCATGGTGAGACATTCTAAATAGGTTAGCATTTCTTAATGTTCTGTTTGGAACATTGAAATTGATCAACTCCAACAACTTTGGACGAACAACCATTCCATTAACTAATTTAAAAATAAAACAAATATCAGTGGTTTTTCTACGATTTTTCAAACTCTGCAAATTCATTTCACCACGAATGAATGCATAATCATGATTTTCAATAACAACGTTAAGCTTGAAAGCACAGAATCTTAGGAATTTATTTTGTGTACGTTCTAAAGTGTATTTGTGAATTTGATAGAAAGGTGACCAAATGATAGAAGCATAATCTAGGTGAGAGACCACCAATGACATATACAATTTCCTGACAGTATGGACAGAAAAAACCTCACAGTTTCGAAGGATGTATCCTAACATCTTGGACGACTTTATTGATACATTATTAATGTGCTCTATAAAAGTCATACCTTCATCAAAAACAACCCCTAAGTCTCTCAATGACGCTACTGATAAAAGTTCCTTATTATTGATATAATAAGAAGAATCATATTTTTTATTTGTTTTATAGAAACTTATGGACGTACATTTATCAATGTTGAGATTCAGCTTATTTTGATCACACCAATTAACTAAATTGTTTAGGTCTCTTTGGAGATTCAATACATCTACATATGAGTTAACATGTCCATACATTTTCAAATCATCGGCAAACATGAGATATTTACTGTGAGTGAAGCAACTACCTATATCATTGACAAATAAATTGAATAATAGTGGTGCACAGTGTGAACCTTGCGGAACTCCTGATGACACATCAATATCATTTGAGAGATAAGTTCCTACTTTAATCCACTTTAATTAGTCCACTCTATTTAAAAGTGTATTTGATTAAAGAGCAACCCCAATTTATCTTGCAGTGTTCTACCTATCCTAGCACGGGGTCACTGTTTTTAACTCGCTGTATAAAAATTAAGCAAGCCAATGTTGGATTAAATCATTGTACAAGTATGTTACTTGAAAAACTATTGTGTTAGCAAGAACGTGTCCTGGTGACATTGTTGAAATATTATCATTTGTTAATTGTTTTACCAGTAATGTTTGTTGACTAAAAATAATATCATATACCAATTACGTTTAAATTAATATGAACTGAAATTTCTCAGATTCCACTCCTCCCAAATGCATTTTGGATGAGAACAAAAGGCTGATCGAACTCGGATTTGTGCCTGGTGTGATGATCCACTTCGGAACGAATAATCCAGACAGAAAATCGGATTTTTTGAAAAAGGAACTGCAGGACAAATTCACCAGTAATTCAGTTGCGAGTTTAGCAGCATCAAAAATGAGGTATATTTCAAGTGAATTCAAATACAAATATACAGGGTGTCTCTAAAAGGTCTTTACAAAAAACAACTACATATTCCTCAGACCAAAACAATCCGATACGATTCAATGATATTTTCGTTCAGGATCGAGCTCTATTCGAGATATTTCGATGCATAAATAACAAAACCATAACCCAGAATGAAGCCAACTACCTTCTGCATTCCTGCTCCGAGTGCATTTGTGGTTATGTATGTTTTTGTTTACCAGTTTTACTTCTTCTATTTTTTTCAATCGTTTTTCATTCGTTAGCAATTCTTCACCATCAGCTATTTTCTGACTAGATTGAGAATGTACAGTGTGCCGCCCGAAAAATTAGAAATTGCTTTAATTTGAAAATGAAAACGACTTGGACTTTATCGGTCGCCATTCTGTAGAGCGTGGACATGAAACTGGAGAGTTCCGAACTTATTTTGTGAAAATTCATCTGAAGGAAACTTCCCTATTTGATACAAGCAATCCCACTTCAGTACAAAGTTGCTTAGTTTGGAGGCTAGACGACTCTGAAGTTTTATTTTCAAATTGTTTTTGCTTTATAAATTTGAAACTTCCAAATTTGGTATGTTGGCATATAAAACCCATACCATATTAGGACAAAAAAAAATTGAATGAGTTTTCAGCCATTTTTTTTTCTACTGAGTAAGTCATAGCCTTCTAGCGCTTTGACTGAGCAACTTTGTACTGAGGTGAGCTTGCTTGCATCCATATTTTCGTCCTATAAATCTTTGTATATTATACACTACACACTGTTTTACCACTAACCAAACCGATTTTTTACACCTCGACACGTGTTTCGCTAACTATGTTAGCATCTTCAGGAGAAGATTGAAACTAAATGCTCTATCCTAGTGGGCTACTTATATACTAAGTATATGTCCACCCAACCGTGAATAGACAATAACCGCCAAGTTGATGTTATTCATGGTTGAGATCACATATATTACTAAACTATACAGAGGACTAAATGGGATAGGTCCATTATCCTTATTCATTACTCTTTTACTGTTCTTAAATATCCCCAAGCTTTCATAGGCATCTATTTTCTTCATGTGTGTTATGATTGTGACTGAACATGTTGTCGGCTACACACGATTCATCTAACCTACCATATTCCAAATGTGCTAGGTATTCTTTGAACCTTGTTTTTATGGGTCGCCTGGTTTGGCATATACAGGGTGTTTCATGAGCAGACTCACATAGCCGAATGGTTGATAGGGGAAATCAAGACGAGTTGATGTATATATATGAAAACATTTTTTGACCCTCCATAACGAAGATACAGGGTATTATGTGAAATTGCTATATAACTTTGATCGTCGATAGTACAGAAATGATTCGTCGTAATCTACTGAAATTTGGCAGCGACGTATCACTACTGAAACTATTCAAGATGACATATTAAGAAAATTGATCCAGGTCCGGACTTGGGAAAATTTTATGTTTTCTTGTTATGTCAAAAAAGTTTACTTTGTGACCACTTTTCTCGAAAAATTCCATCAGATTCAGAAAGATCAGACAAAATTCTATGAGAACTGCTCTTCAATTTACACGGCACACTTTGTCCGGTTCAATAAAATAATATGGAACAAAATCGTTCGAATGAATTTTAAATTTCGACCTGGCTAATAACTGTCAACTTTCAACTGGTATCATGAAAATTGATTTTTCCTACATTTTTGTTGAATAGTAATTGACAGAAGAATAGACGAGAAGAAAAACACGATATTTTTATATATATTATTCCTGACTTTGTTTTATGGGTGTCACTTGAAATGAGATATCGAGTAGGTCTGATTTCTCATTTGTGTGACGAGACGTGACGTTTGTTGATAATCCGAACTGATAGGTAGGTACTAGGCTAGTACTAGGTAGGAACGATCTGATGAAATTACGACATGAGGATTCATGTGCCCATATTATGGTGATTTATCAAATTAGTTGTGCCATCACGAATAAACTTAGCTCCATTTTTTGTTATTGATACACTGCTGCAAGTGACATAAGGATATGCATTTGCTATTTATTCAAAATTCCTAATGTTCATCATCGTGAAGGTTTTACTGCAACGTATTCTTGGGTCTGGGAATATTCTATGGTATTAAACATTTTCGTCTTGTTCAGCATTTGGAATATGGAGTGGCACCTAGAGTGTAAGAATATTTCGATTACCAGTGTTAACCTATCAACAAACGTCATGTTACATAAAATAAAAACAGGGCCCACTTTATAATGAATTTATAAAATAGAGTCACGAGTAATCATATCTATCTAGAAGTTCGATCAAAAACTAACATGTCAAATCATTAAAGAATCAGTACTAATCTCTTCTGTCAATTTCTATACAATAAAAATGTACAAATAATCAATTTACACGAATCCAGTTGAAAGTTGAGAGTTATCAGCCAGGTCGAAATTGAAAATTCATTCGAACGTTTTTGTTCCATATTTTTTTGTTGAACCGGTCAAAGTGTGCCGTGTAAATTGGAGAGCAGTTCTTATAGCATTTTGTCTGATATTTCTGAATCTGATGGAATTTTTTGAGAGAAGTGATCACAAAGTGAACTTTTTTGATATAACAATGAAATATACAATTTTACCATGTCCGGACCTGGATATTTTTTTCATAATATGTTATCTTGAATAGTTTCAGTAGAGGTACGTTGCTGCCAAATTTCAGCAGATTACGACAAATAATTTCTGTTATATCGACCATCAAAGTTATATAGCAATTTCACATAATACCCTGTATCTTCGTTATGGAGGGTCGAAAAATGTTTTCATATATATACATCAACTCGTCTTGATTTCCCCTATTAACCATTTGGCTATGTGAGTCTCCTCATGAAACACCCTGTATATGTTTTATCACAATCAATACAACTAATTTCATAATATATTCCTGACTTTTCAAGTGTGTAAACCTCATCTTTTGGATTACCTAATAAAATTGCCTAACTTTGACCTAGACTGATAAACGCTTTCAAAACCTAAGTCTTTGAAAACCTTATCAAGTCCTCTTCTGTACTTGGGATTGAAGGGGATTGGGATTTTTCTCGAATTATTTTTATCCGCTTGAAAAGTCGTAGAATTCCTGAGTAATCTCCTAAATTTATGTCTACGTATTAATTTTTCTACTAATTTGATATCATAACCATTGACGCCAGTCACTTTATAAACAACACTCCTTTCAACATCACACACAAGCCGTTCGAAAATTACCGTGGCATTATTGATGATTGATGATTTTAGGTCCTTGAAATCTAGCGAAAAAAATCTAAAAAATGTGGAATTGAAAAGTAGTGGAGTGATGATTCTATTGAAAAAATAAGAACAAAATTAGTCCATTGAGAATGAATATTCTCGGATAAATTATGAACCTAAAAAAATGAAAAAATGGATATACATATAAAGAAATTCATTGGGAATTCGCGTTCTCTATGTATATGTATGTCTATACTGTTCTGGCTAGCTATATGCCACGACGAATATTGAATTATATCTATTGAACACACACGATAAGAATTTGAAAACTAAATCTTCTAAATTTCAGAATTTGCATCCCTCAAATCTGATAAATAATATGATGTATTATGAGATAAAAATATAACTTACCAATATTTTCAGTATTGAAATGAAAATAGAAATGTATAGGATAAGTAAACTCTTATCTTGATGAGCTTGGAACTTCCAAAAAAATCATTCCTATCAGTTATAAATAAATTAGTCGAGGCCCTGAGGGGGCAGAAGGACGATCTAGCCTTCATAGCCATCTAGTGGTTTGAGTGCAAAGGTGTATAGGTAGATTCATCCATCATACCTTGCGAGTAAGTCGTGCATATAGACCCCTACGTCTATTTGCTTACAGAAAAGATATCCATGTCAGATTCTGTAGACTATCGCAACACCTGTAATTCTCAAAGTGGTTTAATGTTCCACTAACAGATGGTGATAAACCTAGAATCTCAAGAGATTCTAGGGAAATTTCGTGAATCGATTGTCAGCTGGCCAGTGCAACTGATGAGACTTATGGCAAGTCGAAACTGTCTTGCATCAGCTGACAATCGATTCACGAAATTTTTCTAGAATCTTTCGTGAATCGATTGTCAGCTGGCCAGTGCAACTGATGAGACTTATGGCAAGTCGAAACAGTCTGTCTTGCATCAGCTGACAATCGATTCACGAAATTTCCCTAGAATCTCTTAGTCTTTGAGAATTACAGGCGTTGCGATAGTCTACAGAATCTGACATGGATGTCTTTTCTGTAAGCATATAGACGTAGGGGTCTATATTATGCACGACGTACTCGCAAGGTATGATTGTTGAATCTACCTATACACCTTTGCACTTAGGCCACTAGATGGCTATGAAGGATAGATCGTCCTTCTGCCCCCTCAGGGCTTTGATTTGTATAATACACACACTGGCACAATTAGGGGAACGAGTAAAATTTACACTAAGTTTGACATCAATTTTCTCTCGAACCGATCACTCGATTCAAATTTGTTTTTCACGAACTGTAGCTCCATTCTTCACGAATACATTTGAGAAATAACCACCTCCAAACGATTCGTCTTTATATCATATACAGGGGTGTAAAGAAAGTACGGATTTTTCGGTATTCTTTAAGACATCCTGTGGAGTGAACCACTGATAATTGAAACGATTCTCCAACACCAAATTATAGCCCAATCTATCTCGAATATTTTCGTTCTTTATTCATCTCGATATCCCAATTATCCAAGAAAATATAGAGTTTCAAAGAAGAGGTGGATATTGGTATTAATTTTACCACCTCGAAACTCGAACTGGGGAGAACGTGTCGTTTTTCAACTTGTTTCTGTGAGGATTTTTACTTCAAGATGAGAATTGTTCACAGTTTTACCTATCGGTTTACTGTTTAAAGACAACATATACGAATACTCCCATAAATATGCAGGGGTGATAAAAGTTGCTCCAATGTTCTTTTGGTGAAATGGTATTTATGTTAATCAACGTTGGCTATTTTGTTAATGTCATTAATTATTTTCAAAGTCAAGCGATTCACAATTCATGAATTTGATTTGAAAATTCAACGTGAGAGATTTGACTCCTACAGATGCTGTAGAATTAATTGAAAATGACCAATGGGCCAATGTTCTCTTAACATAATATGTGAGCCGCATCTGCACCAATTCAATTGATTTTACTGCTTCTGTCTCCTAAGGAAGAGGTTTAGTCATGGTTAGGTTAGGTTGGTCAAGAAACGACACATTTTCAGATCCAATTTGAGTTTTGAGGTGTAAAATTGATACCAATATCCACCTTTCCTTTGGAACTCTGTATTTTCTTGAATAATTGAGGTATCAAGATAAATAAAAAACGAAAATATTCGGAATAGATTGGGTTTCAATTTGGTGTTGAGAAATCGTTTCAATTATCAGTGGTTCAGTCCACAGGATGTCTAAAAAAATATCGAAGAATCCGTACTTTCTTTACACCCCTGTATATGATGGAAAGACTCATCGTTTGAAGGTAATTATTTCTCAGATGTATTCGTGAAGAATGAAGCTACATTTCGTGAAGAAAAAAATTTGAATCGAGCGATTGGTTCGAAAGAAAATTGATGTCAAACTTAGTGTAAATTTTGCCCGTTCCCCTAATTGTGCCAGTGTGTGTATATGGAGGTACCCTTCGTGAATCGATTATCAGCTTACCAGTGCAACTGATGAGACTTATGGCAAGTCGAACCAGTCTGTCTTGCATCAGCTGACAATCGATTCACGAAATTTCCCTAGAATCTCTTAGTCTTGAGATTCTAGGTTTATCATAAATAAATTAGTCCACTTGCCCATTATTTTGGTCAGAGGAATATGTGGTGAGGGACAACCTGTAGATGAATTATTTCCACACACATTTTTTTTACAATCGGAATACTTTTTTTTTGCAAAATTTTTAGGAGTGAAAACACCAGGACGTGCGGTAGCACTGAGCCAGAGGAGGACTACGATATGGAAGACACCCCCTGTGTGATATCGGACGATGGGGCGAGCACTAGCACAGGAATCACGCATGACACTTATGGAGAAAGGAAAATCGTCAGATCGACGGAAAACGTGCCTAAATGGTTCAAACCGTGAACCAATTTTCCGCGGTCTGTTGTTTTGTTTGTTTGCTTGTTTGTTGATTTCAATAAGGGAATAATAAATTATTACTCAGTTTTACGTATCCTTATATATTTTTCCGTCAACCTTGCATTTTCCCAAGGAAAGATTCGTACATGGTGGTCCAACGAAAATTTTACACCGCAACTTTAAGGCTCTAACATGAGAATTCGAAAAAACGCCGTAGTCAATTTCTTGTTAGTGGATGGAAGAAGAGAGAACTTTTCTCTCTCTCGTTCAAGGTAGAAGAGAGCTCACCATCTTTCAATTCTTTTTTTGTTCTGGGATATCCTGTAATGTTCAGAGAACATCATGAGAACCAACTCAGCTCAACTCGACGAGTTAATCTCGCGGAGACTGCCAAGGGGGGAACAATTGTTGATATTTCAGAAGAGCATCGTCCATGAAAATATCTATAAAATACAGCCAGATCGCCAACTTTACTTCGGTGTTCGAGAGAAGTGAGTGAGTTTGTGAACAAGGCATCACCCACGAGACGAATGACAGGTCGGATCTGTGCCTTGAAGATCATAAGCAGCTGACTGGAAGTGAAATAGCTCCTGGCCCGAAACAAAAAACAAACTTTTTGGAATGCACTTTCAGCAATTGATCCCACGTGATTTCCCCAAGAAAAGATATTGCTGATAGTAATACCAAGCATCGAAATGGATGTCTTCAAAGGTATGGTTACTCCTGACGAGCTTATGTTGGTCACAGTGAGATCGGCTTTTCTAGAGATAAGGCATGCTTGTGTTTTGTTCGCATTGAAATCTATCAAGTTATTGGATCCCCATTCGAGAATTGATGCCAAGTCCATATTTATGTTGTCAACATTTCTCCCTCGTTCGTTTCTAATTTGCCTAGCTGGTATTGGAGCCCTGGAAGAGAATGCGGTATGGAGGGTACTATCATACGCGAAACTGTGTACTGGACATGAAGTTGCTTCCAACAGATATATATCCGTTTATTTAGTCATAAAAAACTAATACATTGTACATAGAACACATAAATATGTCAAACAACATTACTACATACATACTGTACAATAAAAATAAAATAAAGTCAATCATTCACATTAGAGATTACTTCCCTCCAACAAATGTTTTTTCAGAGTGATTTTAAAACAATTGAGAGATTGTGCACTTTTTATTGCAGTTGGCAATTCGTTGAATGCTCTTAAGCCTTTGAAAAATATCGAGTTTTGCATGAATCTTTTTTGGAACTGGGGAATGTGGAAATCTCTTCTAGATCTCGTTTCATAGTGGTGATATTCGAAATTATAGTTCACTTTATCTCTCAGGTAGTCCGGTACAGTGCCATTGCTTATTTTGTATACAAAAATGAGTGCCTGGTACAATAAAAAATCTTTAACTGGCAACCATTCTAGTCTGTTCAACATTGTCGTAATAGGAGTGTGTCTATTGCATGAAAGGATTATGCGCATTGATCGGTTCTGTAGTTTTTGAAATCTATATATTTGATTTTGGTTTAGTAAATACAAAATAGTTGAGCAGTAAGTGAAGTGGGGAAGTATAATAGTGTTGTATATAATCCTTTTGGTCCATTGATTGAGATATCTTGAACATCTATAGAGAAAGTTTACTTTAAAAGAAATTGTTTTTATTAGAAAATCTGCATGTTCTTTGAAAGTTAGTCGATAATCAACCATAATACCAAGGTATTTGATTTTTTCTACCCGCTCGATTATTTCTTCACCAATTTTTATCTCCATTTTCTCCTCAAGAAATTTATTATAATTTATTTGATTAGCAATGAGCATGAATTTAGTTTTTTTACCATTGATTTTCAAAAGATTTCCACAGCACCATTCTTGTATTTGATTTACTGAATTGTTGAGAGCTTGTACCAAAAGCGCTGGATCTGATGCAGAGAAATAAATTAAGGTGTCATCAGCAAACAAGTGGATTTTACAGTTTCCTGCTGCTTCGACGATATCATCAATGTATATTAAGAACAATAAAGGTCCAGGATCATTGATATGGAGTAGAAATAGTGTTGGTGCTAGAATTGATCCTTGCGGAACACGGGCATTTATGATAAGAGAGTCAGATGAAACTCCGTCGACAACTACATGGAGAGATCTGTTTGAGAGAAAACTAGCTAGCAGAGAACATAGCTGGGGAGGCAAGACATAAGATGGAAGCTTGGCGAGGTGTCTGTGGTGCCAGACTCGATCGAATGCCTTGGAAATATCAAGTGCCACGACTAAGGTTTCACCATATTTTTCAATAGATTGCTGCCATATATGTGAGACGTAAGCGAGCAGGTCACCAGCTGATCTCTGATGACGGAAGCCATATTGCCTATCGTTGATTATACCTGAATGTTCCAGGTATTTCATGAGCTCGATGTTGATAGCTTTCTTCATGATCTTTGAAATAATAGATAGTAGTGCGATCGGTCTGTAGCTGCTAGGTAGATTCTTCTTGCCTTTTTTAGGAACTGGTTGTACTCTTGCAATTTTCCAGTTGGACGGAATCCCCAATTTGTAAGAGTAGTTGAACAACTTGCAGAGAACAGGTGTTAGTTCGGGAGCACATTTCTTGAGAACAATCTTTGGGATTCCGTCGGGGCACAAGCTTTGTTGGTATTGAGACCCAATAAAATCTTTCTTATAGTACGTAGGCGAAAGGTAATCTCGGGCATATGACTGTCAATTGGCGTTATGGCTGTTTTCCCGATGAATCCAGAGTGGAGTTTCCAGCAAATAAATGCGCAAAAATATTGGCCTTCTCCTGGGCAGTTGTGGCTAGTGTTCCATTATCCTTGGTTAGAGGAGGAATCGAGCTGGAAGTGAAGTTTCTTCCTACAGCTTTGGCGAAAGACGAAAATTAACTGGATCCGTTAGGACATTCAACAAGTTTTGATCTTATTTTGGCATTATGAGCATCCTTTGATGATCGAATTGTCTCATTGCATATGCCTCTGGCCTCGACATATTCTGCTCTAGTCTCAGGGCCCGGATTTTTCTGCCATCGATGGAATGCTGCCTGTTTGGAAGCGACAGCTCTAGAGCAGTTTCTACTGAACCAGGCCTTATCGGAAGATGTTCTCCTTGCAGTGTTCGGTATCAATACTACCAACGTGGCCGCATTGAAACATAGAGGGGTCCGATAAATCTTTCCTTGTCTAACATCTAGTTTGTGCCACTGAACTATTTTTGGATTCAACAGAGTGTCAAATTAACGATATTAACAAAATATGTCAAAATAAGTATGATATAATCTGTAATTTCATTACAAAAATTTGGAAGGTTATCAATCAATGACATTTATGACATAGACATATCACATCATTATAATCTGAACTAACTGAAATATCTCACTAGAACTGAACCGTCTGAACCTGAATCAGTTATTATGCGCTCTTTCCAAAGAATTTGATTAGTTAGAATGTTAGACAAGGAAATATTTATCGGACCTCGCTATATTTCAATGCGGCCAAGTTGGTAGCATTGAAGAGAAAGATGGAAGAGGGGAGAACTCCCCTCTCTCTCGTTCAAGGTAGAAAAGAGCTCAATTATTGTTGAATACTCACGATGAACTGAGGTAAATCAAATAGAGATAGTGCGTCCACAAACTTTTTTGTGACAAAAAACTACAAATAAATATATACTTTTAGAATCCTACTCTAATAAGAATAATATTTTCGATGAAGATTCGATATTGCGTCTTCAATTAATTTATCTCTCATTTAATAATAATAATAATAATTTCGTTATCGATTGAAATTTCGACGAGAAATTGGAGAGTTGGATAGTACATGATGAAATCTTGAAAATGGGGTATTAGGAGAAGTATTTCTCCAATTTTTAAATTCTAGATTTTATCAAATACTGTACGACGAAATTACATGAACTTTTGACGAAAAATTACTCTCATAACTCAATGCTATTCTTTTTTCCATAATTTTTGAACATATAGATATTTTATAATTTTGGAAATCAAAGATAAATTCCACCATATTCTGAAAGATCATGAACATTGGAGCCAATTATGTGAAATATCTGGAATGCAAGCACCTTTTGACATATTTGAAAAAAAAACAACTTTCCGGAGATTCATCAACTTTCGATTTCCAAAGAATGAAACACCCTGTATATTATCACATTTTGGAAATCTTCGTAATTATCTGAATCCAAAAATTGTCTCAAATATGAGAAAATATATAAGTAAGTTTCTAGGAAAAAATTTTGATTTTGAGTTTTCAAATTAGAAACATTTTTTCTTCAACGTATTGTTTGCTTGTTAACTAAGAAGAGGGTATAATAAATAACTACTCGGTTCTGCATATCATTATATACTTAAAAAACACTATAAACGTTCTATAAACTAAGTTTCAATACTTATACTGTGATATAAAAAAAATTGATCATAAAAGTAAATGTTACTCAGTGGAGACTAGATCTTTCTTGAATCATCATCTAGATAACACCAAAACGTCAGAATAAACATCTAAAAATCTTTACTAAGTACTATAAAACAATTAAGCTCGATTTTTTTATGCAATTTTGATCAGTTCTGTAGCTGAATAAAAATGAAGACGTTATTGCACATCCAAAGTATTTGATTCAAATTTTGAATTGTGATGATAAACCAATGATTTTTCAGTGAAAACAAGTATAGTGGATTTTGACTTTTCGATTTTAAAATATTTTTTTTTTGCTAACAAAACCTGCCATCATTCGGAAATACAATGGAATTGTTCATTTTGTTTTCAAATTGGATAAAAACAATAAGAATTGATTAAATATGTCCAAAACAAGTAGATATAATAAAAATCTACACAATTGAGATCCACTTCAAGTATAACAGCTTTTCTCAACAAAAAAATCAAATAATGAGTAGTTAGTAGATTTCAAATACCAAACCTAATTTTGTATGTTAGTGGAAGGATTATGAACTTACGATTTAGTTTAATATCAAGAGTTTCGTATATATGGCAGTTGCAAAATC